AGCCTCCAGACTGGATGAAATTTCCAATTTACAGGAGATACAAGGGTTGGAAGAACAGGTTAAATAATATTGTAAAAAAAAAAAAAAAAAAAAAAGAACATATTCATAATGTGGGACATTTTCCACAAAAACTCTCATAGACTCTTTAAAAGATCAATGCCGGCTGGGCGTGGTGGCTCACGCCTGTAATCCCAGCACTTTGGGAGGCTGAGGCGGGCAGATCACAAGGTCTGGAGATCGAGACCATCCTGGCTAACACTGTGAAACCCCGTCTCTACTAAAAATACAAAAAAATTAGCCAGGTGTGGTGGCGGGCGCCTGGTCCCAGCTACTTGGGAGGCTGAGGCAGGAGAATGGCGTGAACCCGGGAGGCGGAGCATGCAGCGAGCCGCGATCATGCCACTGCACTCCAGCCTGGGCGACAGAGCGAGACTCCATCTCAAAAAAAAAATAAAAATAAAAATAAAAAAAATTAAAAAAAAAAGATCAATGCCATGAATAAAAGGTCATATTAAAAGAAACTGAAAAAGACATAATAAATAAAAGAAATTCACAAATTTTGATTGGATACTAGTTCCAAAAAGAAAAAAAAAAAACTACAAAAGACACTTTTAGAACATCTAGGGAAATTCAAATATGGGTTGAAGATTAAATATTAAGAAACCTAATTATTCATTTTCTTAGGTATAATATGAAATTATGGTTAGGTAGGACAATTCCTTGCTCTTAGCATGCTGAAGTATTTAGGGCTGAAGTATCATGGCCACACTTCCTTCAAAAGGTTCAGCAAAAACAAAACAACTGCATGTAATGGCAGGCAAAAGGGAAGGAGGGGAAAGATGAGAGAAAAAGCAAATGTGGTAAAATATTCACTGGTGAATCTAAGGTGAAAGGCATATGAGTGTTCACTGTTCTAGTCTTTCAAGTTTTTCATAGGTTTGAAACATTTCGAAATTAAAGCTGGAAAAAAAAAATCAAAATGCTAAAAAGAGTAACCCCTAAAAATGAAAAACAAACTAAAGCAAAGAAACTTAACTATATATTAAGCTGGTTAAACACTCAGATAATCCTTTCAAATTACTTTAAAACATAGGAACATGACTATACATGCCCAATGAGGCTTTCCTTAGCTTAATAATAAAAAGAATCTCGGAAAATCTTAAACTATTTAAAATTACATTCAATAATCAAATTGTTACTAATAAAATCTTTTTTGTTTGTTTTTTTGAGACGGAGTCTTGTTCTGTGGCCCAGGTTGGAGTGCAGCGGCATGATCTCAGCTCACTGCAACCTCCACCTCCCAGGTTCACACCATTCTCCTGCCTCAGCCTCCTGAGTAGCTAGGATTACAGGCGCCCGCCACCACGCCCAGCTAATTTTTTGTATTTTTAGTAGAGATGGCGTTTCACCATATTAGCCAGGATGGTCTCGATCTCCTGACCTTGTGATCTGCCCGCCTTGGCCTCCCAAAGTGCTGGGATTACAGGCGTGAGCCACTGCACCCGGCCCTTTTACTAATAATATCTTATTGTGATTTTTCAAACTATTATATACATAGTAGGATAAAGTAAATGTGTTATTATGTTAGTTTTGCTAGGAACTGAGATTTTCAGCAACAACAACTGGGAGACTCAAAAATAAAATCAATGATGTTAAACTTAAAATTACACTTTCAATTCAAAGTATCAATATGAATTCATGATGCATTTTTCCTTCAAAATAATAATAAAAAAACAACACATTTAATAGCCCAATCTATTGAGAAGTTCTGGAAGCACTAACAAACCCAGCAATCATGAATACTCCAATATCCAGATGGTAGTTGCTAAATAATAGTATTTCCCACTAAAGGAAGTCAGAGCTTCCTGGAGAAATACCTGATTCCAGGTCTGGGTGGAAAATAGGGAGGATGAGCCTGGACATATTGGAAAGCAAGGGAGATATCAAAGACTACCAGGGTTGTGTTGAAATAATTCAGAAGCCAAACTGAATGAGTTACCATTGGCCAAAGATGGGACAACCTGAGCACCAAGAAGGATAGTAACCAAAACAGACTGAAAGACACGAAACATATTTAAATTCATAATGATATGAGAACTCAGTGGACAAATCTTGAGAAAGCCAAGGAAGCAATTCCTTATTTTATAAACTGATTTGGGGGGGGGGGGGAATCAAGCATATATATCCT